AGTTGCGCTTAGCCTCTTATTATTAATCTCAAACACCCTTACCTTTTCGACCAAAATGGGATGTTCTTGTTCCACCGTCGAGGCCTCTTTCTGAGATTTTTCTAGTTCGGATCGGAGCACGGGGAGGTCCTCATCTTTTTTCTCACTAAGGGTTTTGTACATGTCCTTTTGACAGACCTACTCCTTGAGCTTGAACTCGAGATGACCCACCTCCATCCGAGACCGATGGAAGCTCTCATGATGAAGCACCGAGGCTTGAGGAATAAAAATGATGAAATCATTAGAATATTATAAGGCTAAATGAAACCCTTTAAGGGATATAAGAAAATGGAAACGTACCATGTTCAGCTCCTATTGTGCCTTGTTGAAAAGGCTCAGCGCATCCACTTCGTTAATCTCCGCTTGTTCCTCTTCGGTCACCAATCAATAAAGGTAGCTAGCTACGCCAACCGGCCTGGATGACACCCTAGTATCCGCCGGTATCGTAAACATGACCGTTCTCTTACGTTCAGGATCCACGCTCGGGGCGGGGAACTGCTTCACGAACTTTGGGCTCGAGCTTGGCCCACCTGACTCCGGTAGCACATCCATTTTTGGGATCTCCATGTGGCCAAAATTGGAGCAGTCCTCCAGTGCACCGACGTCCATGCCTTCGAAGAATAGGTTAAGGGCCTCATTTGCAACCTATGATGCCTCGGTCGGCTTTTCTTTGAGGGCCCGGGCCTTATCAAATAGAGACTACATGTGAGATAGTGACTCTGGAATGTCAATGAAGTCGGCGGCTTCTCTCGGAGCTGGTGTAGCTTTTCGAGAGGCCATAGCCATTGGCTTTACCTAGGTCTCCCGAGCTGAAGTGGGTTCGGCCTTACGGTCGCCTCCCTTCGGTGCTGCCTGCTCTTCTGCAGTGATGGCCGGCTCATGGGAAACAAACTTTATGTCGTCATCTTCAAGGTAGTCCCTGAGCTGGTAAAGGGAATCAGGGTCCGATACCCTTGCCCGAGTACTCTTTTTGTTGCTCATTCGGACCCTGACCTTAACCCTCTTTATTTTGTCCTCACCGTTCACGTCCGGGGAGCCAGAAGACCCCTTATTTATTCTATTTTCCTCCTCCTTCTTAACAGTAGCCTCAGCGGTAGGCTGTCCCAAAAGTGCAGGGTTTTGCAGTTGGGGACGTGGCCGCGTTCTCGTTCACCACCCGAAGATTGGTGGTCCTGAGCAAACCTGTCCAAGGAAGAAAGGGATTTAGCCAAAAATCTAGGGGAGTGAAAGGGAAAATCAATCAGTAGAAGAAGAATACTAACCATGGGAACGAGCCTCCTATTTGCCTTTTAAAAGTTTGTGTCACTCATGCTCAGAGTATGTCAATTGTTTGTAGATCCCCTCGACCCACTCCTTGAAACTAGGGATTGTATTGGGGACCGGGGCAATCACTGCACAACGGGAAAGCCATGGGATGAGAAAGGAGAGTAAAATAAAAGAATTATTTTAACTACTTAAGAGGAGATGAACTTACGTTTTGAGTTCCACTTATCAGGAAACGGTAGGAAATCGAAGGGAATGTGATCCTCGTTCTTTACTTGAACAAATTTCCCCTCCGAGCCACGGTCCCTATATTCATTGATGCTCGAGAAGGAAGCCTTCTTTGCCCGTCGGGCAAGCTTGATTAACCCCCTCAGAAGATTCGAGGGGCGTAGATACGAAGCAGGTGATCGATAGTGAACCAGGTCTCCTCTATGTCTTTAACCAAGTGACGAAGGAGAATCACGATCCTACAAAAATATGGATGGATCTACCCCAGGTAGACCTTGCACCTTTTGCAAATGTCGAGGACCACCGGGCCAAGCATGAAGGGGTACGTATAAACGCTTAAGTACCCCTCCATATAAGTTCTAATGTCCTCATCAGGATCGAGGATGACTATATCCTTGCCTTCCCACTTGCAATCCACCCGGACCATCAGGAGCGTGTCTTCGGTGATGGAGTAGATATACCTCCACATCTCTTCACCGCGATCCCCTTGTTTGGAGGCCATCTCGACCTTAAAATTGTTGTTTGTGGATCAACCTCCGGGAATAAAATCCTTAAGGGGAGGTTCCGGGGTTACCGCTGGTTGAGTCGCTTCGATGTCAGTGGCTGGGGTGGAATTATAAGGAACGGTATTTTTAAGCACGGACATCGGGGTTTTCGCAATCGATATCTAGGAATATGAAGATTTGAAGGCGGATATGAAAGTCTGAAGATGGGTGTGAAGATTTGAAGGTCAAACATGAAGATTCAAAGATGAATTATGAAAATTTGAAGATTAGAGATGAAGAAATGAAAATGTAAAGAAAAGTGTATGAAGGTCTGAAGGAATTATGAGCAAGTAAAAAGTTCGGGGGTAACTTAAGAAGGTTTTAAATCGGAACGTAAAAAAGTGTAAAAAAAGGGAAATGAAGCTTTTAATGGAGGAAGATAATTAATGCGTGATGTTTCGCATTCGAGATGGTCAACCGGCGGCTGACATGTATCCGAATTCAGAACGACACGACTGATGGGACGTTTTACTGACCCGTCAACCCGATTGTAGCGTCTGGAGAAGTGAACCGGGGTCAATCAATCACTTCTTGTCGTTTCTATAAATCTTCTCTCCGAAAAGTGAGAGAACTATTTGTGTAGGGGTAAAATCGGGGGTAAAAGTTAACCTCAATTTCCCAGTAAAGAAACGAGAGGATGGTGCGACTCGATATGACCTTGGGTAGTGCCAATGGCATTCATATATAAGAACTCGGGGAGGACGAATGGTGCGGTCGAGACCAGACACAACCAAGAGTTGAGCTCAAGCAAAGTGATGAACTGGGGCCAAGATAAAGGCAGTTAGACAGAATAATCGAGGGGCCTAAATATCCGCCCACCATCGAAAATTACAGCGCAAATCTCGCCCGATATCAACTGCGTAATAACGTTTATTAGACGCCAAAGATTTTTTTTACATTATTTAGACTTGTACTAGGATTGAGAAACTCCCCTACTATATAAAAGGGAGAACTTTTGTATTTTAGGGACCACTGTTGGCACGCATATCAAAGCAATAAATACAATTTTTGTTCTTTAGCTACTGTTCAAAGTGTTGTTCAGTTACCTGCTTATTGAGTTGTAACCGAGCTCGTTCCGAGGGTTAAATCGGAACCAATTTCCAAACGTCCATTACAAAGCTAGAGTTGTTCATCCATTACATTTGGTCTGATCGCTCTAATTTTTTTTAATTCAATTATTTTTTGTTCATTGTTCACTCGTGTTAAACTAAATCACATATCCTTTAACCGCGAATAAATTAAATTGTTACTCCGTTTAAGGGCAAACATGATTAATTATCTAAATAGTATAATGTCTATGTTAAATGAGTTATAATACTCTTACGCTAAACCATCAATCCATGACGAGTAGGATTAAATTTGAAATTGATTTTGAATATCATTACTTGTTGATATTTTAATTTTTTATGAGAAATGGATGGTGAAGGTGGTTTCGTCGAGACGTCGTTAACAAATAGGCAATGTAATTCGTCATGGTCGTAGTAATTAGAGAATATAAAAAAGCCTAGGCGTACATTATAATACTTTCCTTTTCTAAATAAAATATTTAGTAACCTATCAAAAACTTTCTCATTATTTTATTCCCACCACTATACAAACAAAAAGTGGAAAAAGAAAGAAAAGATTCCACGTGTATGTTTGACTAATGTACAACAATGAAACACTCTTAATAACTATTTCCCATAGTACTCTAATTAGAAATTAGTTACAGTATATTGTTTGGTTACTTGTTAGGTGACGGTTTGACTTCAAACATCAACCTTTTGAAAATGTAAGAACGTGAAGTGGACACTTAGCTTATTAAGTACCATTTTCAACTGGGTAAGACTCGATAGTTTTAATGTTTGTTTAGATGAAGAGAAACCGAACATGTTTTAATAATAGAAACCATTGTTTCCGTCCAAGAAAACTATTTTCGATCAGTCGTTAATTTGTTTTTAGAATGGAACGTACTCATGGGACGTTCATTGGATGTTGGAAGAGTATTAATAATGTAACAGTAAAAATTGTTTGTCTCTAGTGTGTGTAAAAGGGACTATTCGGAAAAGGTGTATTGATTAGTCAATAAAGCCAAAAGCACCTGATGGTTCATTTACGACCAATGAATACCTGCGATCTCTCTTTGATTATAATAGAGGGGACGATACTCATTCTCATAAGTCACTATTCAAATCCCATATACAGTAGAGTGCCATGATTCTTCATTAAAAGTACAATCTGTTTGTATTTGGACACGTGCTTGATTGTTTGGCCATTTGTTAGGAAAAAAAAAACTGAAAATTCCTTAGTGTACTTTTCAGAACTTGTAAAATTCGGACGTAAAGAGTTTACCGCAAACTTCCACGGTTCGAATCCATAAGAACACTATAAAAAAAAATTCTCACACCCCCTCACCCCTATACACAGGCGCACACTTGTCTCTTGTATTTGTCCTTTTACGTTTCGCGTATGATTTTGGGATATAGTATTGTTTTTACCCATATGTGTATGCTATTAATTTCGTTCCGTAGCTTTGGTATTCTATTAATGTACACTGACTTAATAAAACAAAGCATGTTGTCATATGATTACTCTTCCTAGTTACAATATATCTAGTTTCAGATATGTCAAAGTGTACATTTAATATAGCTACAGCCATCAGTTAGTTAAGCAGCTTTCTTTTATTTGAGCGCATGAAACACTTGGGATCCTTGAACTTCAAGGTAAAGACTAATGCCAAAAAGAGCTTTCCTAATTAATGTAGTATTCATATTTGAGATGGAAACTTCTAATCAGCTACTACTTGAAAAGATATTAGAAATAGGCCTATCCATTTTGACTTATATAACTCTTAATAAGACAAAATTCACTTTATTTAATTTATTGTCTTAAAGCCCAAGTCTCTCTTAATATAAGCCAAATAATACAACAAGAGACCTTGTCCATTTCTCTAGAAAGCAAAGCAAAGAAAACTTCCTCAGAATTAAGTTCCAAGAAAATGCTCAACAAACAATATTAGAAACAGAGAGAAAAAAAATGGGGAGAGCTCCTTGTTGTGATAAAGCTAATGTGAAGAGAGGGCCATGGTCACCTGAAGAAGATGCTAAGCTTAAGGAATTCATAGAAAAATATGGAACTGGTGGTAATTGGATTGCTCTTCCTCAAAAAGCTGGTGAGAAATTCTTGACCAAATTGAATTCTGTCTTTTTCCCATCCCATTTAATTCTTTTTCCTATTTTTATGGAAATAATTTTTTTTTATTTTTTCCGCTTTAATTGATGAAATGATTTTGGATCAGGATTAAGGAGATGTGGAAAGAGCTGTAGATTGAGATGGCTGAATTATCTAAGGCCTAATATCAAACATGGTGATTTTTCTGATGAGGAAGATAGAGTTATATGCAGCTTGTATGCCAGCATTGGAAGCAGGTAGAAAAGTTTTTAATTATGTCTAATTTATGTAACATCTTTTCCATTTTTTTCTTTTCCTGCTTTGGCCACTAATCTAGTGCTCTTAAATTTTCATAAATTAAATTATCATGTGTTTTCATGACTTTGAGAACTGAAATAGATCCCATAAAAAAATACTAATACTGTAGAAGAAGAACCTCAATATTGAATAAGGCTAAAAAAGAAAAGCATCAATTTGTTGGGTTCTCACTGAAGATTCTGCCATTTTATGGACATTTCTACTGCATGCATGCCAGGTTTAGATCTTGGATCAAGTCTCTGTCTTTACTTACAAACATACAGCTGTTAGGACACAGTTCAAATTGATAAACTACTCCTTTTTTTCTTCTTGATGAGAAAATCTCTGTTAAATTCAGTAATATCTAGATGGAACTTATTTTATATTGTAAGAATTTGACTTTAAATTTTCCTATACTGACAATTTGTAGATTTTTATACTAACAAGAAACTCTTCATAAACAAGCTTGATGTAAAATAGAGCAATAACTAGTTAAATTAAATTGATGTGTAACACTGTTAGTATATGTAACTTAAATCTCATATAGTATTTATGTATCAGGTGGTCAATTATAGCAGCTCAATTACCAGGAAGGACTGACAATGATATCAAAAACTATTGGAACACAAAGCTGAAGAAGAAGCTCATGTGTCTAAAATCACCTTTCTTTCCTACTACAAATTTTCAAACACCACCAACCCAACCCCAAACAATTTTCAGTTACACCACAACTAGGTCTCTCACTGGTGGCCTTGAGCACATTTCATCAGCCCAACCAAATCTTAACATGAACTTTAACTTTCAGTTGGGGACAAATCAATATTCCTATTTTCAGCCATGTCAAGATCAGAGCTTAATGAATCCCATGCAAGCAACTTGTTCCTCATCTGATGGAAGTTGCAACCAAATGAGCTATGGAAAAGATATTAAGCAAGAGGAAATGGGCAATTTTTTACAGGGTCAAATTCCAACAACTTTTGAAGAAACCCAAAAAGTTACTCTTGATTATGGTAACAATAGTGGACGTGGTAATGATCACCAGCTTGGCACTTGGGCTGATCAAAAGTCAAATGGATATCAAAGTAGTCAATTCCAGTATGATATTGAAGAAGTTAAGGAGCTGATTAGTAGCTCTAGCAGTGGCAATGGATGTAATAACAGTAGTTTTTTCTTCTACAATGATGAAAACAAGACAAATGAGAGAGGGATGTACTATTAATTTATGTAGTCGTGATGGAATTGAATTAATGAAAAGCTTCTATTTTGCTTCCACAGAGGTTTTTCTTTCTGTGCATTTCTTTTTTGTAGTTATCATGTAATATCGTTATCATTATATGTGTAATGTCTATGCTTTTGTCCCCTAGCCTTATACTCCGGCCTATCTATGTATTTAGAAATTAGAACTCAGAAAATTAAAACACGAGTGATGATCAAGCATCCACTGTTCTTCACTGAACCAAATACTGTTTGCACTATATATATAGAGATACACAATAAGAAGTAAGTTCTTCTAGTCATATCTGCCCCCTCTTTCCTTTCCAAAGATATATATTCTTAACCGTACTGAGAAAGGTACTAGCGCTGGCTTTTCATCAGAAAGAGCACTGTTTGCAAGTTTGGATCTTAATACGACAGTTGGTAATGAAGAAGAGATTTCTTTTTACACGAGATTATACGAGCGAGGATTTGAATTTTATGGGTTCAGATTCGAAATTTTATCACATTTCATCTAATTTAATGACTTCAAAATTTATTATTTGTGTATATATTTAATGAGTTTTCTGGCCAATATATCTATTGCTCGTAGCTTTGTTAGAATCCAGAAGAAAGTTGTTGTTCTTTTAGAAAGAGTCATGCCAGCAAAAAGAAAGATAATAATACAGCAAAGTTTAGGGGTTGCATTTCAGCTCAAGATATTAAAATGATTGGAAAATAATTCAGAATAATCTCAGTCTTATTCAAAACTTAAACCTTCACAAGTTATACAAGGGAGTACTACTTGGTTAGCCTTATAATAAGTGGGTGGGGACAGGCATCAACTTCTGTACAATACAGGTAATAGAAAATTAAACGTCATGTACTAAAGAGTGTAGCGAGATAGTAGTTAAGATTCTTCAGCTCGTATCTGAGATTTTCAAGTCATGAGAATGGAGAACGGTAAGAAGAGTTTTATCTTTTATTTGACATGAATATGGGTTATTTATCTAGTGAATTTTGAATACATTTAAACAGAAAATATTAAATTAAGCAAAAGAAAAAGAAAAAACGTTAATCCCGTGATGAAAAGAGAAAAAACTCATACGCCTATCACGGCAATTGAAGAGTTAGTCTTTCATAAGTAATTTTAATAATGGATTATGGAGTGGCTTATGATTTGATTAATTGATAATTGACCATTGCTTTTTTGGATATAATTAATATCGAGAGTGTCCCCATTGAAGTTGACCTTGCTTAGCAATCACCTTAGGTAAGCTATATTTGTCAAATCGACAAACCAATGTACTCCACTTGGGAATTTTTTCCCCCTTCTTTTTCATTTTTCCTTCTCCGTTTACTCTTTACTTTATAAGCTTGTGTTAATAAATATTGTAAACAACTGATAGTTGGATTTAACTAATTCTGACCAACAATGTGAAAATGTTTGACAGCCATAAGTGTCAAGAATTTTCTATGGTTATTTTGAATAATTGAGTTGCAACCTAATTCGACATCTCTTTCAAAAAGAAAGGCATGTGAATAACGTCAATGCTACAACAACTTTGGTATCCTCAGCCTATAAATATTAAACACGACTCCATTTATATGTAACCATAAAGTATAGTGTTATTATAGCTCTTATTTGGCGTATTATTACTACTTATAACACCACGTATTAGGAGTGATAGATAGTTTTCTCTTGGAAGAGACCCATTGGCATTATATTTCCTGATAGGATATTTCCGGTGGGGCTAAAATGGAACTCGTTAGCTACGTAGAGGTGTACAAACCGAAAGGAAATCGCACCCAAACCGAAAAGTCAAACCAAATCGAATAAAAAAACCCGATAAAGTTTGGTTTGGTATTGAATAAAAAAAGCAGACGACATATAAATATATAATTTTTATATATACTTTTAAGACTTTATATAGAATTTTTTTTTAAAAATGTCTAGAAATATTTGGGATTCTCTTATGACATGTAACATTTAATAGAATAGAAGTGCTCTATTTTTATTAACTTTAAATAATGTGTTGTATGATCACTTTCTTATCAAATGTTATTGAAATGCGTCAATCTCTTTGTTTTTTCATATTCATATGTCAAGATCTATTAGATTCTTATATCTTTTTCGGATTTGAAGTGGTATTTCGATAATTGAAAATTAAATAGAACATACATCATTAATTAGGTATTGTATTTTTTGTTATGTTTAATAATTAAATTTGGTTAACTTTGAAAGTCTACATCAACAAAAATTTATTGTCAGATAACTAAAAATATAACTATCATATGTTACTAAGAAAATTCTCTCATAAGAATATTTTAATAGATTATATGTTTGTCAATTTTTCTAATTTTTATTAAACATATATTTACTTATAAAAAATTTAACGTTGTTAGATTGACATATTATTCATGTAACAAAAAAACTTGAAAACCCCGAAAATCGGACAAATACTGAACCAATCCAAATCGATATAGTTGCTTTGGTTTGGTTTTAATAAAAATCGAACCAACCCGGTCCATGTATATACCGTCTACGGGTTAATCCGAAATGTAACTTGGCTAAAATTTTAAATATATTAAATAAGAAAAAATAATAGATTGTGAACCCAATATATCAAATAGGTTATGGTATAATTCTGAACTCAAACCCACAAAATTTAAATTTTAAATCCGCCATTGTCTCCCATCGGAGAGCCTAATTAAGACGACTAAGAATTGGTGCTTTTATCTGTTATGGTTGTTGTATTGATGGTGGAAAAGATCTACACGTGAAATGTTAGACTGCTAACATGGCATAACACATAAGAGCAATAATATAGCAACACGTAGAAGTCTTATCTGATAGAGTAAGAAAAGGCACGGGAAGAAATACCCACGCGATAATACCGGGCCTAACAGCTGGCAAAGAATGAATAAGTAACGGAAAAAAGGAAAGATACATGGAACGGAAAGAAATAAGGAAGGGAAATCGTAACAGATGTAAGGCATTTATAGCAATAAATGCATCGGTTATGAGAATCCAAAATAGAGGGCAATCAATATCATTAATGTCCATAATTAGCACAAATTATGGGGGAAAACCGTTACTATTGTACATTTCTATATAAAGGCACAAAATTTTATTTGTACGGAAATTGGGAACAATATTGAGATATATACTTTACTTTCTGCTTTCTCGAAATTCTTTGCTTCAATCTTGCAATCAATTATTTCCTTAGTTATTCTTGTTATTTTCCTTCGATATCTTTGAGAAAGTGAAGTTAAACTTGGTTATCAGTAACCTGTTTTCTTCTAAAATTAGATGTTGACTGAAAGATATATTTTTGGTTAAACAAATTAGTTCCGTTGCTGGGACTCTGATAATTTTTTCACTTTCCAAATTCATTTTTTCTGTCAAACAACCATGTCGACTGCCAACGACAACAACCAACAGAACCGACTGAACCAACGAAATCAACAAGAGGGTGGAACTCCAATCCCTTCACACCAAAATTCTCCCCAACACTCCCGAGAGGGGTCACCTCAAAGATAAAACATCACATACGAATAATCAACATGGGGACGATCAAACTGCCGAAGACGCATTAAAACAGCTAATTGCAGAACACGTCAACAATGCCCTTCAAGCTTTCGTTAGTGGATTGCCAATTGTACCACCAACTCCACCTCCAAAAAACACTGCAACCATAGAAAACCCACGCTCGGGACTTGCTAATTCAGGCAGCGAAGGAACTCCCAATCTCGTGATGGAAGGTCAGGTACCCCAAATAATTTTGATTTATAAAGTTTAGTACTAACTTTGCAGAAGCAGCTCAAGGAGCAGAATGATAGCATAGAACAAATGCCTGGTGTGCCACCCGTGATTACAGGAGTGGATATTGACAAATATTCACAACAGCCCTGGAAGCAAAGTGCCGCCCCCTTGCCGATTCCAAAAAAGTTTAAGATGCCCGATATTCCGAAGTATGATGGAACAACCGACCCACGAGATCATGTAACTGCGTTTACTACTGGCGTAAAAGGCAATGATTTAACCAAGAAAGAAATTGAGTTGGTGCTGGTCAAAATATTTGGCGAAACACTCACAAAAGGAGCACTAACATGGTATTCTCTTTTACCGGAAAATTCTATTGATTCTTTTGCTGAGCTTGCAGATTCCTTTATAAAAGCACACTCAGGAGCTCAAAAGGTTGAAAAGAGGATGGAAGACATCTACAAAATAAAACAAGGAGATACAGAGCTACTCAGGGAATTTGTGGATAGATTTCAGCATGGAAGAATGATGTTACCGCGTGTACTTGATAACTGAGCGGCCATGCCGTTTGCAAGTAACTTAAATGAAAAAAGCTCAGAAGCCACGAGGAGGCTCAAGGAGAGCTTACGAGATTTCCCTGCTACAACGTGGAATGATGTTTACAACAGGTATAGTACGAAGCTGCGGATAGAGGAAGACACTATCACTCAGTCACGGAGAGATGAAAGAACAAGTTCGAGGCGACCAGAAACTGAAAAAAGGTCTGGTAAGAACAGGTACAAACCTTACATGGGACAAGTAGGACGGGATTCACGTTCTAAACAATATAACCCGAGGTACAGTTCTAGATCAAGAGACAGAGATCCGGGTTCATCATCCAAGTATGGGAAAGAGCGAGATACGCGGGATGGCAATGTTAATACGAAGGCAAAGATTGGTGATTACAGTTTCAATGTTAGCACTTCTGAGTTGATAGCTGTTTTAAGAAGTATGGGAGATAAGGTGCGGTGGCCAAAAGAAATGAGATCGAACCCTAGCAGAAGAAATCCAGATTGCTAGTGCGAGTTTCATATCGACCACGGTCATAAAACAACAGATTGCAGATTGCTATAGGGTGAAATAGAACATTTGTTAAAACAAGGTCATTTAACCGATTTGTTTAGTGAGAAGGGTAAGCAAACGTATATGAAGAATAGACAAGAGCCACCAAAACCTCCATCACCAAAAAGAATGGTTAATGTGATAAGCGGAGGAGAGGAGGCCAACGGTGTGACATATACGGCTGCAAAAAAGACATCAAAAGTCATGGTTA